GCCTTCGTCTTCTAAGCTCAGCACAACTCAGCTATTGCATGTGGGGCTGGCATTGCCTCTTGTCCCTCCCAGTTGACCGTTAAGTTCTAAAAGGATGGTCAGTAGCCCGGCCGGCCGGCTTTGGCTTAGGCAGTGGTCGGCAAACTCATTAGTCAACAGAGCCAAATACCAACAGTACAACGATTGAAATTTCTTTTGAGAGCCAAATTTTTTAAACTATATAGGTAGGTACATTGTTATTAACTTAATTAGGGTCCTCCTAAGGCTTAGGAAGAGCCAAACTCAAGGGGCCAAAGAGCCGCATGTGGCTCGCGAGCCGCAGTTTGCCGACCACAGGCTTAGCGGTTGAGCGTCGACCTAGGAACCAGGGGGTCAGGGTTCGATTCCCGGTCAGGGTTGCTCAATACCCCGTGTGGGGCGTGCAGGAGGCAACGAATCGATGCTTCTCTCACATCGGTATTTCTGTCTTTCCCTCTCTCTAAAAATCCATGGGAAAAATATCCTCGGGTGAGGATGAAAAATAACAAAATCAAATAAAAGCTAGAGGGACTTGGGGGCTGGGAAATACCACAGGTGGCATTTTCTTCCTCCGAGAACAATGGGCCCTGGGGTCCATCCCCCCCAACATGGGGGGCACACACCCTCCCAGCTCAGACCCAGCACCCGGGAGGATGGAGGTGGGCGGGGGAGGCAGCCGTCTGCCCGAGGAGGCGCCGGAGCCTGCAGACGAGGAACATCTGTGTCCAATTATCGGCAGAACGGGGCACGTTGGAGAGCGTGCTGGCTCCCGCGTGCAGGGCAGAAGCACCCGTGTGACTCAGCAGGACCCCGCCCCCCATCCCAGCTCCCTTAGAGCCACAACCCCCGGGTCCACCTATCACCTGGGTCCCCCCAAGAAACAACCCCTCAGGGTCCCATTGCTCGGGCCTGGATTTTGACAAGACCTCCATCCGCCTGAGAAACCTGCAGCCAGGCCTGGCTGGCGTGGCTCAGTGGTTGGGGCATCGCCCGCCCTTCCATTTGGACACACAGACACATGGACAGATGGGTCTTTGGCCAAAGACCCCTCTGCAGGTTTCTGGAACCTTCCTCTTGGGAACTCTGCGAGCCCTTTGGCCTCCCTCGGGCCACATTCGCTCTCCTCCCCCAGCCAGGCTGCAGGCTGTTTGGTGCCCCCCTCCCTGTGCCCTAGCCCAGCAACTGCCTCCAACCTCCTCCTCCAACCTCCTCCGGGGAATTCTGTGCCTATTTCTGGACCTTTCTCTGTGTGGTCCCCTCCGACAGGTTCCGGCCACCTTTTCCGCCCTGAACACATTCTTCTCCGCCCGGCAAGCCTTCCCGCCGCACAGCCTGGCGGTGCCGAAGGCAGGCAATCGGCAGGGGCCGCCACCTGGTCCCCTTCTCGGGGTCCCAGCCCCGCACAGTCTGTTGTCCAATGTCTGTACCTCATTGCTCTTTCACAGACGTATTTCCTCCAACTTTCTATCGTTCCTAACAAGAGGGTAAGTCCCTGCCCAGTTACTCTATCGTGGGGAGCAGCAGCAATCCTGACTTAAAAAATATATTTTTAAAATATATTTTTATTGACTTCAGAGAGGAAGGAAGAGAGATAGATAGAAACATCCATGATGAGAGAGAATCATGGATCAGCTGCCTCCTGCACGCCCCACACTGGGGACCGAGGCCGCAACCCAGGCATGTGCCCTGACTGGGCATCAAACCGTGACCTCCTGGTTCATGGGTTAACATTCAACCCCTGAGCCACGCCGGCCGGGCCATCTTGTTTACTTTTAATAATTTTCAACTATGAAATTGTTCACATGGTCATATGTTTATTCTCCCACCTCCACTACAATGTGAGGGTAGCAACAATGTCTGTAACACACACAACCAATCCCAGGGCCCAGCACCGGGCTGCAATATGAAGAAAAGCCCGGCCGGTGTGGCTCAGTGGATTGAGCATCGTCCCGTGCACCAAGAGGTTGCTGGTTCGATTCCCGGTCAGGGCACATGCCCGGGTTGTGGGCTCGATCCCCACTAAGGGGCGTGCAGGAGGCAGCTGATCCATGATTTCTCTCTCATCATCCATGTTTCTATCTCTCTCTCCTGCTCCCTTCCTCTCTCCCTAAAAAAAAAAATCAATAAAAACATATTTTAAAATATAGAGAGAGAGGAAAAAAGGACTATGAAGAAAAATATATGCTATTGCCACCCTGGGGCCAGATGTTAGCATGAATCAGTGGATAGAGACGAAATGCGGGGGTGTCGGGAGGCTGACGGCCGGCCGGGTGTGGCCAGGCTGGCACGGGCCTCCTCCCCAGCCCGCACTGTCCCTGTGACACAGGCTTTCCGCTGGGGCCTGGACATTTTCACAGGAGGGGCTGGCAGCAGCGAACGCTTGGCGTGCGGGTCCTGTGTCCAAGCAGCGGGCTAGGGTCCCCGCACTCCTCACCAGGGGGTGGAGCCTGAGCCTGAGCCTGAGCCCTCCAGGACAGAGCCCACCCCGTCTGGGGGGCCCGTGCCCCTCGACACCGATTCCCACCAGCCTCCGGGGGGACCGCGTCAGGACTGCGCACAGGGTGCCTCCTGAAGGGGTTTCACACTGGCCTGGCCTGGCTCAGTGGTTGAGCATCCACCTAGGAACCAGGAGGTCAGGGTTCGATTCCCGGTCAGGGCACAGGCCCGGGTTGCAGGCTTGATCCCCAGTGTGGGGCGTGCAGGAGGCAGCCGGTCCATGATTCTCTCTCATCGTGATGTTTCTCTCTCCCTTCCTCTCTGAAATCAATCAAATGTTTGTTTTTTAAAAGAGAGAGAGCTTTTACTAGTAACTGGTAGAACC